ATCTCCTTGAAAAACTGCGGGCATTTTTTTGTCTGCCCGCACTTCGAAGGGGGGCGGGCATTTTTTGTCCGGCCCGCAGAGCTAATCTCGTTGAAAAACTGCGGGCAGTTTTTTTCCTGCCCGCATTTCGATTGCCCAGAGGTGGCAGGGGGGCGCGGGCACTTTTTTTCCGGCCCGCAGAGCTAATCTCCTTGAAAATTGCGGGCATTTTTTTTTCGCGCCCGCAGTTCCGATGCCCCGAGGGGAAACTGTCGAGGGGATTGGGGCGTCTGCGCCCCTGTAGCCTCCATAGAGCCAAGGCCTTGGCGGATTTGAGGCTTGCGAGGAGGCCCTGGCACGATGGCGCCAGGGCGCTTAGGGCCTCATGGCCTTCACTCCTGGGAAGTTGCCGGGAGCCTGTTTCTCGGAATCTGCTGGTAATGTAGTGAAATGACACAATTCAGTGGAATGGAGCAGGCGAAATATGCCCAACCCTCCCAGGTAAAATAATGTTAATGTAGTGAAATGGGGCATCCATGTTCTCACAATCTGTCCTTCTTGGGTTCAATTCCTGGTGGGGCCTGAGCAGCCTACATGAAGGGATGTGTTCTAGGGATGCCATTGTCATTGCGGGGGAAATCACTGTAGAAAGGATTCTGTGCAAGTAAGGCCGTTTACGTGTACTTAGAGCTTTGCATACTCAGGAATTCTGAAATTTAGAATTGCCACCGCCCCCATTGCGAAAGCCACCGCCACCGCTGCCGCCGCGGCCGCCATGCCAACCCTGCCGCTGCCTCTGGCATTGCCAACCAGGCCCACCACCGCCGCTGCTGCTGCGCCGACAGCCACCACCCCCCCACCCCCACCCCAGCGCGACCCAGCCATCCGCCGCCACTATCCAGCAAGCAAGCAAACGCGCCTGCCCCAGGCACGCCGCAGCCAATACCATCACCGCGGCCACCGCCCCCCCCCCCTCCCGCCCCCCACCACTATCGCTGTCCCCGCCGCTGCTGTTGCCGCCCCAACCAAAGGCACCGCCGCCCACACCGCGACCGCTCCCACTGCCACTGGCTGCCCAGCCGCCACCACCTCGGCCGCCGCTTGTTTGAAGCACCCAGCGCCGCGGCTCCCAGTACCTTTTCAGCCCGAACAGCGGCCGCGCTCGCCGCAGCCGCTGTTGTCGCCACTGCCACCGCCCATGCAAAGCCACTACCAACACTGCGGCTACCACAGCCGCCCCCCCCCCCCCCCCCTCACGGCTGCGCTCACCGTTGCCGCCGCACTGCCACCGCGCACACCACCGCTACCCCCGCCACCGCTGCCACCGCCAACCCTGCCGCTACCTCTGGCATTTCCAACCGGGCCCACCACCGCCGCCGCTGCTGCGCCGACAGCCACCACCCCCCGCCGCACCCCCACCCCCCCCCACCACCACCACAACGACGACGACGACCACCACCACCACTACTAGAATAGGGGACGTGCCATAGAATAGGGCAATCATATGCCCTCCTTCCCCTGTATGTGCCGAATTGTAGTTAAATGGGGAATATTTCTTCCCATAATCTGACCTTCTTGGGTTCAATTCCTAATGGTGCCTTGGGGGTAGGGTTTCCAGCGAGCTGCGGATTGCCCGTGCACCTCCCGCCCCCTGGGGGAAACCGGAGCTTCGTGGGGGCTGGGCTGGCTCTGGTGGGGCGGGGCCTGCAGGGGCTGGGCGCGGCCCTGAGGCAGGCGCGGGGCCACGCATCTGGAAGCGGAAGCGGGGGCAACGCAAACAAAAGACAAAAAACCATCGAACAGCCGGGCTTGTAAGACCACGCCCGGCAAAAGAGCAAACCAAAACGTCGACCTCCCGGCCTTGTAAGACCACGCCCGGCTAATCGGATTCAACATCATTGAACCCATTGCGTTTTCATATTGTATTTTCAAATGGTTGAACGATGCTGTGTTCTTGGACTGTGACGTCGCGATCTGCGTGAGGGGTGCGTCGGTTTTAGAATGTGAGGGATTTCCCGAGCGAAACTGCCAGAACAAGAAACGCGGCTTCACAACCAATCGTCTCTGAGCTCTACTCCCTCGACAAGGTGCGTATGGTAAAATATAATTACCCACGCATGCGCGGACGCGAAAGTCTGAGAACGAACCCAACCAAGACAAGCCGCACGTTAGCTACATGGAAGCAGGCGTTAAACTAGAACTGTGGTAAACGTTGCCGACGACCATATACAAGTTGTGTCAACAAACTTTTGAAGTGACTTGCCTGACTGCCAGCGAACAGCACGCCATTGAAAGCCTGTAAACATGATGGCTCCTATTTGTTCGCAGAAAACAAGCAACCTTTCAGCAAATAAACTCTGAGAGCAACCATCACGCACATTTTCGCAAGCTGCACACCAAGCTGCACGGGAATCTGCCCGAAAACAATCGGCACCGTAAACGAAAACCACATGCACTTCGTGGGCACGACCGGGTTGACATTCAGGCAATAAGGCCTCGGCAACCTAGACGCAAAACGATGCAAACCTGTGCGCGCGCGTTCGAGAAGGGAACGACATCGAATCCCCATGTACCCTGGCTGGAAGCAAATGGCAAGATCAAACAGGCTGCGATTGCTTACGAGCCAATGGTGCCAAGTCAGACCTTTTCTCGTGCCACGTTCAGACCTGCATGCGTGCAGGTCTGCGCGCGCCCGCAGGCCTGCACGGATGAAGGTCTGAGCCACCCCCAAAGAAGTGCATGTGCGCGGCGATCCGGGGAATCACAATGACGATCGCGGTGATCGGATGGATGACGGCGATGATAAGATGGATGACCGGTAATGCTGGTGATGAGATGGCTGGTGGAGAATGATCGAAGCACTTGTCAGTTACGCACGCTACGCAAGTGGGCCAACGACCCAATGCCAGCAAGAGACGGTCCCTCGGCAACGGCTCTCGCCCAGGTGTGCCGCAAAGAGGAACAGGCTGATGATCCGCCACGTTCCTCGCCAGGGCCAGGCGTTCGAGAACTGCTGCAAGCGCAGGTTCTGTGCCAAATCGCGCAGGCAGCTTCAAGTGGCTTCAACTGGCAGCACTGGCAGCGCGAGATCATGCGTCTGTCCACCTTTGGCCCCGGGCCCGAGCTACTGCCGCTGGCATTTGGCTGGGAGCCCCACGCTGCCACTTAGCTCGGCATCTCACTATCACTATCACGTGCAAATTCCTGCTGGGTCCTGTTGGGTGACCGCATCCTGGCCGACGTGCTGCGCTGGCGGCGCGGCTGCGGACGTGACGAGGCGCCCTGGCGGCGCAGGCTGCACGGTCGTGGCAAGCCCTGACGTGCTCGTCCATGTTCGGAGGGGCCAGCGCCTCAGGTGGACGCCTCAGGTCGAGGCCTCCGCTCAGCGGGCCGCCATCGGCAGGAGGCTCACGGGCGGATGTGCACAGGCGGCGTCATTATGTATGGTTTGCTGCTGCGCTGTGGCTGGAACCGGCTGTGACCACGACGGGCGAGTGGGGATCCAGCAGCTACTGAAGTCTGGCAGGGGCATGGCTGCTTGACCAGGCATCAGGCTTGGCAGTGCTTTGACAGGGACGTCGCGCTGGAGGTCCAATGCCTCGGGAATCAAGATCACGCGGACGCGGGTGTGAGGTCCACCGCGCGGACGCCAGGACGGCTGTGGCAGTCTCGGCAGACGGCGCTCAGGGTGACGCAGCGGATCCTACGCAAGCAACATAAACAAATCGTGGCCAACGATTCGGACTCACGCGAAAGGTGGTTCTCGGCATCATTGCGGGCTGGCAGAAACTCACTGATGACCAGTCTGAAATCATGCATGATATGGAGCAGTGATCGTGCGGGCGCCAAGGTCACATGCTCAAGTCAAGCATCCCGCAAGACATTGCACACACCCCCGCTCAGGACACCACCTGGAAATGTTAGGTATGTTTGGGCGAATGCGACACCTGTCTCCGCTCCCGGCGGGGCCAATGCACAACAACATGCGCTGGTGGCGGCGCCAAGCCGCGCGGCCACTGCAGCACGGGATGCGGCTTCGCACGAGGCCGCGGTGGTGGTTCGAACGCGGCAGCGCGGTCACCTTGCAGTGAGGTTCCAAGCGCGCGCTGGTGGGCCACGGGCCAGCCCGCAGCGTGGCAATGATACCGAGGCGCACTCGGACGGCTCGCGAGCCGCACCCAAGGCGCACTTAGCCGCACACTCGTCGGCCTCGCGCGGGAGCTCATAGCAGACCCGCAGGTCTTGGCCGACTTGGATGCGGGCGCGCACTGGCGCGAGCGGTGCCCAACCCTTCTTGCTGGGCTGGGCAGCCGGGTCGGCGACGACGCGCGCAGCTGCTATGCGCGCGGCGGGGCACCACCACTCTCGTGCCCGAGGCTTTCTCCTTGGTGGAGCGGCGACCCGACGGCAGTGGCCATCGGCAGCGTGATGGGGGCGTGCCCCACACCGATTTTGAACGGACGGCGGTCCGATCCACATTGGCCGCGTAGTTAATAGCGCGACGCTCAGCAAGGCGTATCACGAATCTCGCCATGCGATTCTATGTGATTCGCGTAACCAGAGGAGGAGCTGGTCGCGGACCCAAAGAGCTGCGAGAGGAATGGCGGGGATTGGCTGATGCCTGCCCTGGTAGAGCCCATCTCCCCGGTTGCCTCCTTCGGGCAAGCCCTTTCATTTTCCACGGGATCGGCCACGCGACGTCGATGCACTTCATTAAGCTGCGCTGGGAGGGATCCCATCCTCCTCTTCCTACTCGTCCGCCTCCGCCTCCTGCGCCTCCCCCGTCGCTTCCTCTTCTGCTACCTCTCCTCATCATATCCCACCCCGCTGTCTCCGCCTCCTCCTCCTCCTCCTCCTCCTCCTCCTCCTCCTCCTCCTCCTCCTCCCCCCACGACCTAACTTGAGACTGCGTGCCTTGCTGACGGCGGCAGTTGCGAGGGCCGCTTGCACGCACACGGCCCAGCGCCTGGCGGCGCGCGAACCAAGCACAGGCCTTTCCATTCTCGTCCACTTCCGCGTCCTCACACCACCAAATTTGCCAGCATCTCCGTGGCCTCCCCCAGGCGCCGCACGCCAGGGTTCTCCTCGGTGTGGCTAGCGTCGGTGTCGTTCTTGCCGACCATGGCGCAAGAGTTCTCGAAGTCCATGGCACTCGCCGACACCATCGTCAGACTCGTGATCACATTGATGATGCTTCCGGCGCAAGCAGCGCTATAGCTTTTCGTCTCGCCGCACTTGGCGGCCGCGAAGGACAGAAAAGAGGCAACGTAGGAGAAGGACGATATTAAGTGGAGGACGTTGACGGCGCAGATCCGCTGTGCGTGCTTCACATCTGCCCGTGTGAGGTTGAACTTCGGCGCCTTTCCAAGCATGGCGAGCCTGCGTCCGAACCAGCCATGTTCCTCCGACACCTCCACTTCCTCCTGGGAGCCATGCAAAAAACGGCAAGGAGGAAGCGAGGGGATGGGTGGGTGGAAAGGGGAGGGACGGGTAGAGAGGAGGGGTGGAGGAGGGGGAACTTCGCATCGGGGGAAGAGGAGGGAGATACCGGGGTCCGGGTGGCGTGGAGGGAGGGTACCTACACGAGCATAATACTTGCCCCCCGTCACTTGCCCCCTCCCTGGCGATGTGCCAGCCTCCCCCGAACTGGTTGAAGGCTGGAGCCTACGCTGATTTGCGACTGTCGGTCCTGCGGCGCGTTCTTCTGTGCCTCGGATCGGAGGAGGGCAAGGAGGATAATATGTAGAGATGAGGAGCAGGAGGAAGAGGAGGACGAGAAGGAGAACATCCTCGTCCAAATACTCCTGGGCGGCCTTCAAGGACTTCTTCTTCAAACCTGCCGTGACATTGTTCACCGATCCAAGGCTTCCGACTTCCTTCCCGTCCGACTTCATCTCCTGTTCCTCGTCATATACATAGTCGGCTCGCTCGTACTCCTTGCACCCGTAGATCACCTCAAACTAGGACGGTTGACGAGAAAGCAAACCTCGTCCCTGGGTGCCCCAATGCGGGCCTTGGGGAAGCCCTGCCCGGCATACGTTGGTGCGTCCGACCCCCCCCCCAACCGGCAGCTCCCAGGGGCACCCGGCGCGCACTCTTTTCCGTGTTCTCCCTGGCGCCTCCTCGATGAGGGCGCCCGCGCGTGCGAGGAACATCGCCGCCTCACGGAGACAGGCAACTTTCGGGGGGGTATCCGAAACGGTGGGGGGGGCGCAAAGCATGGTCGTGCGCGGCCCAACGCGGGGCCATTGGACGCATTGAAACAAGACGAGGCACCATGAGATTTGGGGAGATCTCGTGGCCTCCGCTAGGGTCTATGATACCCACCCCCAGTGACCACCCCCTTTTTGGCCGCCCCCGAAGCTTCCACCACCACCACCGGGCCTCCCTGGGCGCATGCTGGTCCCGTGCCCTGGCGGACGTGCTCCCAACCCCCTCCGTGATGACTCGCATACCCTTACCATTATGTCGACTCGGCTCCCGAGTCTGAGCGTAGCCTAAGAAATGGCAAAGGGAAGCGTCTGCTTGCCCCCCACCCCACCCCACGCCTTGTCAGGATCCCGCCCAGATCGGGCGCGCGGGTGCCCCGAGGCGGTGGACGCCTTCGTCTCCAGACGCGCTCCCCCAGAGCCCAAAGGCCCATCGGGAAGGCCCCCAGAGGCCTCCAAAAGGCCTCCAGTTCATCACCCGGGCAAAACCGCACGACGCCTGCAGCACGTCAAAGACACACATCCCGATGGCGATATTCTCTTCCTCCTGCGACTTCTCCTTGGCGCCCGCGAGTTGCCTGTCTGTCCGTGTCGGCTGCTGCAGTTTCCCCTTCCTGCTCCAGCTCCTCCTGCCCCATCCACCTCCGCCTCCACTTCCTCCTGCCTCCTCCTTCTCCTCCTTCTCCTCCCCCTCCGTCCGTAACCATTTTGGCTCAAGCCGTTTTGCGCTCTATAGCGTTGCTGGCACTCGATTCAAAACGGCACCTGGTGTCAGCGGGAGAATCTGATCGGAACCTTGTCTTAGTCTTTGATGCGGCGCCATGGTGGCAGCGGCGGCGGTGGCAAAGGCCAAGGGGACTCCCTCTGGCGAGGCAGCCCACCCGGCACCTGGCGCAGCACGGCTGCGGCAAGGGCGGCGGAGGCAGTTCAGGCGGAGGGCTGCAGGAGCGCTGGAAGTGTGTGCACTATGGGTGTGGCAAGACGTCGGTCATGGCAGCCCACTGCAAGCACTGCGACACTCAAAGGCTCAAAGGCAGTCCCCTGCTCCTGCTCAGCCTCCGGATCCTCACGGTGCATGGTCTCGTCACTTCGGGCAGCATTTGGCTCCAGGCCCCGTCGCGCCTGGCACATGGCCAGCTCTCCCTGCAGGTCCTCTTCCCCTCGGCGGCGCAGCCCGCGGAGGTGCTGGTGCTGCAGGCGGGAGCGCGTCATGCCCTTTGGGGTCGACCGAGTTGCAGATGCTGGTCTCTCTCACCAAGCGTGACGAAGACGACGAGACCGCCAAGAAGTACCAGTCCAAGATCGACGCCCTCACTGCGAAGTACAAGCCAGCCCCGAAACCTATTCAAGATCAAGTGTCGGACCTTCACCGCGAGGTCACGAAACTTGACGGTAAGATGGAGACGGAGCTGGCTAGGTACAATCGGTGGGTTGAGGGCGTTCGCACGCAGGAGATCTTCTTACGCGACCTATCCGACAAATCCACGGCCCTCATCGAGCAGCACCGATCCCTTGTCGCCAAGTTGCGCAATGAGGATGCTCCGTCTGAGCAGCCCGCCCAAGCTGCTGCGACATCAGACCGTGTGCTGTCTCTGCGGGACCTTGTGGCGGACAAGGTTGCGGACATCGCCATCGATGACGGGGGCCTCTTCAGCGATCTACCAAGCGACGCCGAGCTGGAGCTGGCGGACATCGAGGGGGTCGAGAAGCGCCGCGCTTAGTTCAAGGAGCACATCGCGCCAGCGCGGCCAAACAGCTCTGCGAGAGCGCAGTGGCCAGAGCTGAGGCGGTCAAGAAGGAACATGAGCAGTACCTCAAGAGGATTGCTGGCAAGAGGCGCCGTGACCCTGAGGGAGACCTTCCTAACAAAACAGCGGAAGGTGGCGAAGGGGCCGCGGCGGCGGACTCGCCCAGCGTCGCAGGGGACAGCTCGGTCGAGGTGGCCGCGGCCATCCCTGGCGCAGCGGCAGCAGATCGTGTGCGTGCTGAAGTTGAACGCAGTGTTCAACGGGTCCACGGCATTGCGGAAGGAGCTGGCGACCCTCCTGAGCAGGCGCCCCCCCCCCCCCCTGGCGGCTCCTGAGCTCAAGGGGGGGCGGGGTACTCTTTTCGACAGGACCAGCCGAGAGCTGAGGGCTGCACGCCCAAACGTTTTTGCCCAACCATCCTGTGGTGTTCGGTCACCGTTTTGAAGAGACGGTCCCAGCGTTCTCCTCCTCCCGCCTCCTTCCTCCCTCCTCCTCCCCTTCTCCCTCCTCCCCCTCCTCCTTCCTCCCTGCGTTTCACCCACCCAGTACAACGCTTCGTGGCCCCATAGGGAGCTCCACCGAAGGCGCCAGTGGCAGGGTTCGCATGGTGGCCTTTCGGCACACCCCTCACGAGGACCGTGGCCCCATAGGGAACTCCACCGAAAGCGCCAGTGGCAGGGTTCGCATGGCGGCCTCGGGCCATTTCGGCACACCCCTCACGAGGATCGTGGCCCCATGGGGAGCTCCACCGAGGGCGCCAGTAGCAAGGTTTGCATGGCGGCCTCGGGCCATTTCGGCACACCCGTCAAGAGGATCGTGGCCCCATGGGGAGCTCCACCGAGGGCGCCAGTAGCAAGGTTTGCATGGCGGCCTCGGGCCATTTCGGCACAACCCTCACGAGGATCGTGGCCCCATGGGGAGCTCCACCGAGGGCGCCAGTAGCAAGGTTTGCATGGCGGCCTCGGGCCATTTCGGCACACCCCTCACGAGGATCGTGGCCCCATAGGAGGGGGCCAACATTTTCTCAAACCAAACGGGTCTTCCCAAACCAAATGTTGCGGAATCAGACCGCCGGGTCTTCCCAAACCAAACCCGGGTCTTCCCAAACCAAACGGGTCTACCCAAACCAACGCCCCCGGGTCTTTCCAAACCAACCGGGTCTTCCCAAACCAACGTGCCGGGTCTTCCCAAACCAACCGGGTCTTCCCAGACCAACGCCCCCGGGTCTTCCCAAACCAACCGGGTCTTCCCAAACCATTTCCCCGGGTCTTCCCAAACCAAACGGGTCTCCTCAAACTAGCATTCTGAATCTTCTATAACTGAGGGTGTTCTCAAATCCTTATAGAAGCCGGAGGGTAGGCCTACCTTATAAACCTCTGTTCCCTATTAATAAACACCCCCTCCCCCAGGCGACTGGGGGCCAACCCGAGTCCATGCCGACACCCCTCCCCGCCATCCCTTGTAAAGAACAATACAAAACACACTTTGCCTCCTAATTCGGAACATGCGCAGCCAACCCGATGCGCCCCCCCCCCCCGCCATCCCTGTCAAAAAACAATACAGAGTACACTTGGCGGCGGCGGCGGCGGCGGCTGCGGCGGCTGCGGCGGCTGCGGCGGCGGCGGCTGCGGCGGCTGCGGCGGCTGCGGCGGCGGCGGCGGCGGGGGGCGGCGGCGCGGCGGTGGCGGCAGCGGCAGCGGCTGCGGCGGCGGCGGCTGTTTGGCAGCGGGGGGCGGCGGCGGCGGCGGCGGCGGCGGCGGCGGCGGCGGCGGTGGCGGCGGCGGCGGCGGCGGCACGGCGGCGGCGGCGGCGGCGGCGGCGGCGGGCGGCGGTGCGGCGGCGGCGGCGGTTGGCAGCGGGCGGCGGCGGCGGCGGCGGCGGCGGCGGCGGCGGCGGCGGCGGAGTGGCCCCCAGTAGCTGCCCATCCCAAGACGACTGCTGAATATGCTGAGGCTCGGGCCAGACTCGGGTGCTACGTATGTGTTGGGAGGGCGGGTGGGAGTGAGCGAGACGGCTTGCGGGCGGGGAGGGGGTAACTTGGCCTACCCCTAGCCCTACCCCCTAGGTTTACCGTAGGCCTACCCCTAGGCCTACCCCCTAGGCCTACCCTAGGCCTACCCCTAGGCCTTCCCCCTAGGCCTACCCTAGGCCTGACCCTGGGCCTACCCCCTAGGCCTACCCCTAGGCCTACCCCCTAGGCCTATTCTAGGCCTACCCCTAGGCCTACCCCCTTAGGCCTACGCCCTAGGCCTACCCCTAGGCCTACCCTAGGCCTACCCCTGGGTCTGCCACCTTAGGCCTACCCTGTCTGCCCGACCCGACCGCTCGTTAGGGTCCGCCCGCCCGACCCGACCCGACCAGCCCGTTAGGGTCCACCCGACCCGACCCGACCCGACCCGCCCGTTAGGGTACTCGCGTGTCAACTCGATCATGCACCACACTATAATGTCCCGCCAACCCGACACGACCCGCTTGTTTGGGTCCGCCCGCCCGACCCGACCCGACCCGCCCGTTAGGGCCCGCCCGCCCGACCCGACCCGACCCGCCCGATAGGGCCCGCCCGACCGACCCGACCCGACCCGACCCGCCTGTTAGGATACTCGCGTTAACGCACCGCCCGCCCGACCCGACCCGCCCTTTAGGGCGCTCGCGCGTGAACTCGATCATGCACCACACTTCAATGTCCCGCCCGCCCGGCCTGACCCATTCGTTAGGGTCCGCCCGCCCGACCCGACCCGACCCGCTAGGGACCGCCCGACCGACCCGACCCGACCCGACCCGCCTGTCAGGGTACTCGCGCTAATGCCCCGCCCGCCCGACCCGACCAGCCCGTTAGGGTCCGCACGCCCGACCCGACCCGACCCAACCCGACTGTTAGGGTTATCGCGGGTCAACTCGGTTACGCACCACCGCACTTTAATGTCCCGCCCGACCGACCCCGCCCGACCGCCCGCCCGACCCGACCCGACCCGCCTGTGAAGGTCCGCCCGACCCGACCCGACCCGACCCGCCCGATAAGGCTTTCGCGTGTGAGCTCGACCATGCAACACACCGTAATGTCCCGCAGGCACGACCCGACCCGCACGTTAGGGTCCACCCGCCCGACCCAGCGCGACCCGCCTGTTAGGGTCCGCGCGCCCGACCCGACCCGACCCGCCCGGTAGGGTACTCGCCCGTGAACTCGACCGTGCACCACACTTCAATGTTCTGCCCGCCCGACCCGACACGCCCGTTAGGGTCCGCCCGCCCGACCCGACCCGACCCGCCCGTTAGGGTCCGCCCGCCCGACCCGACCCGACCCGCCCGTTAGGGTTCTCGCGTGCGAACTCGATCATGCACCATACTTTCATGCCCCGCCCCGCCCGACCCGACCCGCCCGTTCGGGTCCGCCCGCCGACCCGACCCGACCCGCCCATTAGGGTCCGCCCGCCCGACCCGACCGACCCGCCCGTGAGGGCTCTCGCGTGTGAACTCGATCATGCACCACACTATAATGTCCCGCCCGACCGGCCCGACCCGCCCGTTAGGGTCCGCCCGCCCGACCCGACACGACCCGCCCGATGGGGCCCGCCCGCCCGGCCCGACCCGACCGCCCGTTAGGGCACTCGCGTGCGAACTCGATCATGCACCATACTTTAATGACCCGCCCGTTAGGGTCCGCCCCCGACCCGACCCGCCCGTTCGGGTCCGCCCGCCCGACCCGACCCGACGCGCCCGTTAAGGTCCACCCGCCCGACCCGACCCGACCCGCCCGTTAGGGCTCTCGCGTGTGAACTCGATAGTGCCCCACCCACCCGACCCGACCCGCCCGTCGTTAGGGTCCACCCGCCCGACCCGACCCGACCCGACCCGCTAGGGTCCACCCGCACGACCCGACCCGACCCGCCCGTTAGCGTTCTCGCGTGCGAACTCGATCATGCACCATACTTTCATGTCCCGCCCGCCCGACACGACCCGCCCCGCCCGTTAGGGCCCGCCCGCCCGACCCGACCCGGCCCGCCCGTTAGGGTCCGCCCGCCCGACCCGACTCGACCCGCCCGTGAGGGCTCTCGCGTGTGAACTCGATCATGCACCACACTATAATGTCCCGCCCGCCCGACCCGACCCGCCCGTTAGGGTCCGCCCGCCCGACCCGACCGACCCGCCCGTTAGGGTCGCCCGCCCGACCCGACCCGACCCGCCCGTTAGGGTTCTCGCGTGCGAAATCTAGTGTCCCACCCACCCGACCCGACCCGCCCGTTAGGGACCGACCCGACCCGCCCCCTTAGGGCGCGTGTGGAACGACACACTCCCGCCCGTCAGGGTCCGCCCGCCCGGCCCGACCCGACCCGCCCGTAGGGTCCACCCGCCCGACCCGACCGGCCCGCCCGTTAGGGCACTCGCGCGTGAACTCGATCATGCACCATACTTTAATGTCCCGCCCGCCCGCCCGACCCCGCCCCGACCCGACGACACGACCGCCCGTTGGGGTACTCGCGTGTCAACTCGATCACGCACCGCACTTTAATATCCCGCCCGCCCGACCCGACCCGACCGTTTGGGTCCACCCGCCGTTAGGGATCCCCCCGCCCGATCCGACCCGACCCTCCCGTTAGGGTTTCGCGTGTGAACTCGATCACGCACCACACTTTCATGTCCCGCCCGCCCGACCCGACCCGCCCGTTAGGGTCCGCCCGCCCGACCCGACCCGACCCGCCTGTTAGGGTCCGCCAGCCCGACCCGACCCGCCCGTGAGGGCTCTCGCGTGTGGGCTCGATCATGCACCACACTATAATGTCCCACCCGCCCGACCCGACCCACCCGTCAGGGTCCGCCCGCCCGACCCGACCCGGCCCGCCCGTTAGGGTCCGCCCGCCCGACCCGACTCGACCCGCCCGTTAGGGCACTCGCGCGTGAACTCGATCATGCACCACACTATAATGCCCCGCCCGCCCGACCCGACCCCCCGTTAGGGTCCGCCCGCCCGATCCGACTAGACCTGCCCGTCGCCGGCGACGTCGTCCTCCTCTTCCTCCTGCTGTTTCCGCTCTCGTTCCCGGCCGCGTTTCCGCCTTCCTTTCGCCTTTGTCTCCGCTCTCGTTCTCGCCTTCGTTCTCGCTTTCGTTTCGCCTTGATTGCCACCTCGTTGTCGCATTGGTCTCGTCTTCGTTTCGCTTTCGTTCGCGTTCTCGTTTTCGTTATCGCCTTCCTTTCGGTTTCGTTCCGCTGTCGTTGCCGACAGCATTCTCGATGTCGTTTTCGCCTTCGCTTCCCTTTCGTTGATCCGCGGGTGCATTCGCTTCCGGGTCGCGCGGAACGTGGTAGATTACGCAGGAGCACGGCTGAGCACGCAGGAACACGGCAGACCAAACATATTCGCGGCCGACCAAACAGAAGCGCGGCTGACGATGCAGGGGCACAGCGGAGCAGGCAGGAACACGGCTGATCACGAAGGAACAGGGTAGAACACAAAGCAGCACGGCAGAGCACAGAGGACCACCGCAGACCACGCAGCAACACGACAGAGCATGCGGGAGCACGGCAGACCGCCGAGAGCACGGCAGACCAAACCAACCGGGTCTTCCCAAGCCAAACGGGTCTTCCCAAACCACCCGGGTCTTCCCAAACCACAACGGCCGGGTCTTGCAAAACCAACCGGGTCTTCCCAAGCCAAACGACCCCTCCCAAACCACCCAAATCTTCCCAAACCACAGCGGCCGGGTCTTCCCAAACCAACCGGGTCTTCCCAAACCAACCGGGCCTTCCCAAACCACCCGAATCTTCCCAAACCACAACGGCCGGGTCTTCCCAAACCAACCGGGTCGAACGGGCCTTCCAAAACCACTTGGGTTCACAACGGCCGGGTCTTCCCAAACACCAAGTCTTCCCAAACCAACCGGGCCTTCCCAAACCGAAGCCCGGGCCTTCCCAAACCGAAGTGTCTTCCCAAACCATGAGAGCAGGCCGGGTTTTCCCAAACCACCACGGGTCTTTCCAAACCACCACGGGCCTCCCCGAACCAACCGGGTCTTCCCAAACCACAACGGCCAGGTCTTCCCAAACCAAGCGGGTCTTCCCAAACCACAACGGCCGGGTCTTCCCAAACCAACCAACCGGCTCTTCCCAAACCGACCGCGTCTTCCCAAACCAACCGCGTCTTCCCGAACCACGAGACCCGGGTCTTCCCAACCCAACCGGGTCTTCCCAAACCAACCGGGTCTTCCCAAACCAAATCGGGTCTTCCCAAACCAAGACCTGAGTCACCCAAACCAAAATTTGGTTTGGGAAGACCCGTTTGGTTTGGGAAAGACGCCCCTCCCCCATAGGAGGTCCACCGAAGGCCCCAGTGGCAAGGTTCGCATGGCGGCCCCGCCGCATTTCGGCACACCCCTCATACGGTTCGTGGTCCCATAAGGGGACTCCACCGAAGGCCCCAGTGGCAGGGTTCGCATGGCGGCCCCGCCCCATGTCGGCACACCCCTCACACGGTTCGTGGTCCCATAAGGGGACTCCACCGAAGGCCCCAGTGGCAGGGTTCGCATGGCGGCCCCGCCCCATGTCGGCACACCTCTCACACGGTTCCTGGCCTCATAGGGAGCTCCACAGGAGGCGCCAGTGGCAGGGTTCGCAAGGCGGCCTCGCCCCGTTTTGGCACACTCCTCACACGGTTCGTGGCCCCACAAGGGGGCTCTACCGAAGGCCCCAGTGGCAGGGTTCGCATGGCGGCCCCGCCCTATTTTGGCGCACCCCTCACACGATTCGTGGCCCCATTGGCAATGCCCCTTGCTTCATCCCACCTGCCCTGCGCCCCCTCGCCACCACGGCAATGGGGCCGAGCTCCTCCTCCTCCGCCTCCTCCTCCTCCCACCCAATGCTGACTTCCGACTTCGTTCTGAACTCGGCCGCCTTCCCCCCCGGGGGCCGCTGCCCCTAGGGGGGGGAACAACCTGGAGCCTGTCACGCGGTGGCGTTCGCGCTGCGGTCAAAGATCATGGAGGGTGGGCTCCGAGGAGGGAGAACGACTGGCAAGGGGACGGGCACGATGGAGGAAGGCGGGCGGAGGGGACTGCTCGCCGTCGCCGCCGCCCTGCCGCGCAGGTTCCTCCTCCCCTCCAGCGCAGCGGCGAGCCAAGGGCAATAGTCGCCTCCTCGGGGTCTCAGGGCCTCGAGATCCTCGCTGACGTTCTGGTTGATGAGCCGGCGGTGGTCAGGGAGGTTGTGGTGCAAGGGGCGCGTCGCTCGTGGCGGCGTGGTGCGTAGTGCCTCGCTCATGGCGTCGCGGCTCGCTCGAAGCGGCTTGGTGGCTCGCTCATGGCGGACTTCCGGCTGGCATTGCCAGTCAGGGCGCGGCGGTGCCGTGGTAGAGCGCGTTAATGCGACTCTGCAGGTCATCCAACTTGATTTCCTATTCGATCGTGACTCGGGTGGTGTCGCCGCATTCGTCGCCCTCCACCACGTCTCCATCGTAGTCGAATGCCTGGCTGATTGTGTAGGCGCGAGTGCGCTTGTTCATGATGAAGCTGATGGCTCTGTCGGCGGCCTTGTCTCCGTCCACGTAGAAGGGCAACGTTGTCGCCTTTTCTGCGCAACTCGGTGACTGTGCAACTCTGGGAGGTGTCCGTGAAGACCACAGGCTCTGGCTCCGGCTGTAGCTCAGACCCCGTTTGTAGCTGTCGCCTAGGTCCAGGCTGTAGCTCTGGTTCAGATTGTGACTGCGTCCCTGCTTCTGGTTGTTGCCCAGATTCTGGTTGCGGCTGTTGTACAGATTCTGGCTGCCGCTGCGATCGTGCAGGTTCCGCTCGCAGGCCTCTTCCTCCTCCTCCTCCTCCTTCTCCTCCTCCTTGTCGTTCTTCTGCTCCGCCTCCCTCTACCCCCATCCCCATCCAACTCCCGCTTCTCTTCCTCCTGCTCCTCCGTTTCGCCCTCTTCCTTTCACTCCCCCTTCCCTTCCTCAACTGGCTGGAGAAGGACGAGGAGGCGGAGGAGGAGACACGCGACGCTGGAAAGACGAAAGAGATGAGGGAGTTCCACTGAATCATTCCACCACACCAGCCCGCTCTGCAGCCAGCCGGCCGGCTCGCTTGGCGGCCACACGAAGCGCCTCGCGGCCGCAGCCGAGCTCCTCGGCTCGGCAGCGCGTGTGAAATCTGAACGCCGTAGGTGCACCTCGCCTTAACGCATCGAAGAGCCATGCCGCGGCTCGGCGCTGCGTGCAGCATGGGCGGTCCCTGCGTAGACCCCGTACACAACGACCATGCCGAGATGGCTGGCCCAGGACGCCTGTGCAGACTCCGATTGGCTGCACGCCTCGTCGACTGTCGCGTTCCAGGCCCGATGGGGATGCATCTCGCGGCTGACGTGGCTGCGCGATCCCGCCGCCCGCGGCCTGGGCTGGCCAGCCTCTGGCGGACAGGACAGGAGGCCAAGAGCCTGTGGCACCAACAAGGGCACAAGCCCAACGAGCCGTGCAGACTGAGACTGAGTCCTGGGAGGACGCGCCCTGCGGGCCGCCTTCTGGGCATCGTCACTCGTGGACACGGGCGGCAGTGGAGGGGAAGAAAACGGGGACCATGACCAAGACTGATCGCGGAAACGTCGTGCCGATCTTGGTTACCGTCGATCTGGGTCAGCGTCAGCTCGTGGATCATCCTCGCGAATCGGCGACGACCGACATGGACCGACGATCGGCATCGACAAGATCCCGCTGCATCTTGGTCGTGGTCCCCATCTTTCTTCCCTCGAGGCATGGGGGACCGTGCCCTCGCGGCCGCCAGGGCCCTGCTGCAGGCGGAGCGGCGGAACGCCCACGCGCGCACCTCTGGCTCCACAGCCCTGCTGGCCTGCGCTCGCCTGCGCTCGCCCCCGGGGTCGGGCCCGCTCGCGCAGGCTCGGCGCGCACAGCCTGCCAACTCTCAGACCGAGGCCCACCCTCCATCGAGATCATTCTTTTACTCCTGGGGGATAATAACACATGTTACCCTGGGGTAGGGGGGTAACGGTAACGGGGGCCGCGGCGCGCACCCCCCGAAACGCGCCGTCTGGGTCGTCGCCGTTGCCGTCGCCGTCGCCGTCGTGTCGTCATCGTCGTCGTCGTCGTCGTCGTCGTGGTCTCACCTCGAATTCAATCGTGCGGGGGGCTCAAGGCCCTGAGTGCGCGCGCGCCGTCTTCAATCAACGCGACCTCCACGCGCCGGGTGTATGAGGCAAGGACGCGCACAACGTAGCAACCCAGCCTTCGGCCGCCCCAGCCTTCGCCAAATCGTCGGCCGCGTCATGGCCGTCGCGCTGCCACGCGGTGTTTTTTCCCCTCTACCACATCTTCCAACGTCGAGTGCGCGAGGACCTTGGAACAAAAAAAACATGTCCACGAACGCGTCACTGGCAACCGCCTGGTGCCACAGGTGGGCAGGGGGCTGGCCTGGCACTTGGGAGGGCGCCAAGTCCTGCCCGCAGGCGACGGCGGCAACGCAACCAGACTGCAGCTTGCAGCGACTGGCAGCGTGGCTTGACGCCATCAACACACGTCGTCCCCACCGTCCTTGGCGCACCGGGACAGGCAGTGGTCTCGGGGCACTGGCCTGCGCAGAGTGCCAAGAGAGCGAGCATCGGCGTGGCAAGCCACCGCTGCCCAACTGCAGGCCACCTTAGGGTTGGGAATCCTGCGTCGAAACAAGCTCCATATGTGAATATGTGTCGGCAGTGCATCGTAAGGCCAGTTGAAGGCTATCCCTCTGCCCAGAATCCTGAGCGCTCCCAAGCCTCTTCACCGCCTTGCACTCGAGCGGCAGCATCGCGCACCGCGGGGTCTAGATCGTCTGCCTTCCAGGCGCGGTGCGCTGGGGTTTGGAAAACCTGTGATGCAGGGTGCCAGGGCGAGCTGCGACAGCACTGGCAAAGACCTGTGAGACTCAGGCGCTCACCCCGCAAGCAAAGGCAGGCCTGGCACCCATGCGTGCCGCGAAGCAAGGTCGCAGGCCACGCTGCTCTCACTTGAAATCCGCCGATCCGGCGTGTGAGTTTAGGGGGAGAGGACGACCGGGGTAGCTCTGCCGGGGTAGGGGGGAGGGGGGGGGGGCCCGTACCGGTGGCGTGGGGGGGGGGGGTCCGGTCACGGGTCCGGTCCCCCGTCCCGCCTGTTGACAGGGGGACTTGGGGGAAGAGGGGGGGGGGTCCGGTGGCCGGGGTGGCTCTGCCGGGGTAGGGGTCTGCGGGGGGAGGGTCCGGCGGCGTGGGTCTTGGTGGCGTGGGGGGGGGGGGTCGGGTTCCAGGGAGAATTGGGGGAAGAAGGGGGGGGGTCCAGTGGCGTGGAGCGTCAGCTACATCCTCGAGGCTGAGCTTCAGCCTCTGGGGGGGGTGCCGGGGTGGCTCTGCCCGGGAAGGAAGGGAGGGTGGGGGTGTGCCGTGGTGATGTTTGTCCGTGTACGCGAAAAAGGAATCGGGGAAAGAGGGAGAGAGAAATGGAACGGGACAGGAGCGGAAAACG